CCTCATTGCATGAAAATGGGGACAAGCGGAGGGAACCTCTTACTTTGTTCTCTACTGTCAGGTCTGTGCTCAGAGATGGCAGCCATCCCACATCCTTTCCATGCTTCTACCTGACTTTTGTCTGGCTTCTCTCATTGGGAGTCGGAAGTAGCCTTGCATCATGTGATGGCCTCTGTGGGACTCCGTTTTCGTAACACAGAAAAATTGAGAGAAGACTGTGTTTGATGAGGTCCTTAATTCCCTCTTCTGATTATTTTTGTTATATTATCTTAATGGTATATAGCATCTTACCATCATATCATTTTGCTGTTGTAGTGCTGTTTCAGCTTTATTTAAAAAAAGTCAAAACAATCACAAAACAAAGGGTAGAGTACATGAGTTGGGGTTTTTTTTCGTGTCGGGGACGGCTTGAGAAACTGCAAGTTGCTTCTGGTGTGAGAGAATTGCTCACCACCTGCTATTAATGTATATGGGGAAAAAGTGCAAATGATGCACTTAAAATCCAAATGTAGCAAGGAGCCAATAGTGTTAGCAACCAATTATTCCCAGAAGACAGGCTGCAGTATATTTTAAGCAGAACAAATTGGCATAAAGGAATGGAGTGAAAAAAATCCTCAGCCTCATCACCCTCAAACCTTCCTTATTCTATAGTTCTAAACTGGGAAAACATGCAAAATAAAAATAAATTAATTAACATTTACTTCATTTTGCATATTACTAATTCTGACACCCTTGGTTTCACGGGTGTTAGAACTAACACTCTTGAAACCAAGGGCTTCTTTTACTAGATTTGTAAGGTCTACAGCCAGAATGATAAACAAAACAACATGTTTCTACCCCAGAGATGCATATGCTTCAAAATTAAAAACAGATATCAAAAAGCAGCCAATTTACATCATAGGCTAAACTTGAAGCACCACAGAAGAGTACTCCAAAGAAAAATTAAATGTGCTTCCTTCCAAACCCACAGTTATTTCGAATAGCGTCTTGGAAGATAATGATAAATATGATAATACTTCCTACTGAATGCTGTTTTTGAACATCAATCATTAAGGAGCAACTGGAAAAATAACCTTCTCCAATATGTGGAATCTATATATTACAGACTGCTGGGAACTACAGGCTGCTGGAATGTTTATGTTATAGGGAGCATTGATACTGAAGAATTAATGCAGTTTGACACCACTTTGTCATAGCCCAATGCTACAGAATCACGGGAGCTGTAGTTTTCAAGGTCTCTAATAGATCGTTCTCTGCCAAAGAGTGCAGCTCCCTCACCAAACTGCAACAGCCAGGAATCCATAACATTGAGTCATGGCAGTTAAAGTGGTGTCAAACTGTATTAATTCCAAGTGTACATCCACCCATACTTGTGTTTCAGTGATATGCATAACCTGATCTACTCTAATTATATCTAGTATACTGCTATAGCTCAATTTGAATTGACGCTTGAAAAGCAACCCAACCTGAGAATTTGATGAAGTAATAAGTGATACAGCGTTTTCTTGGCTGTATCAATTCAGACCATAAATCTGAGGTCATCTGTTTGAACATAATCCCAGGTAACTATTAAAATTATATAAAGCTTTTTCTATACAAAGATAGAAAGGTCCATTCTTGTGACTGTGTAATTAGCACATATTATTGGCTGGGCCGAGAAGTGGGGAGAATAGCAAAAGTAGCAACATGGAGATTCTTCTTCTTCCTTTTTTTTCTCTCTCTCTATATTTTTTTTCAGCAATGTTAATAGTGTTATACAATTTGTAAAGACACACACACACACCAACTAAATTGTAACCTTCCCCACTAAAAACTATAATCTATCTATCTATCTTCTATCTGTACATATAACAAAAGTGAAAATGTGTGTATATGGCAGAGGCGTCCACTTACACAGACAGCCTCCAACCTCCACAAACACGCCATAGTTCCAAGTGCTGAGAACCCTCCAAAGGCACTCTCTCAACTGACATTGCAGGTTAGAGTGAGCACTGTGAACATGAAGTCCAATCCCTGCCAATGTCCTCACCAAACACCAAACACCCAAAGAATGCTTTCATTCAGGGAACATTTCAACCCAGATGTTGTTTTTTCTCCAGAATGGACATCCCAGGGTTGCTTTTTCTCTCCAAATTTGCATAGCCTCGCCCACTGCCTCTCACTTAACCCTTTCTATATATTCCTATGGCACACAGCAAACAGGAATTGATCAGCAACTGAGGTCTGGGAAGAATTTGCCATGATTTACAGGAGTTGTAGTTCACCTATATCCAGAGAGCACCCTAAACACAACCAACGATGGACCTGGACCACACTTGCCATAGATGCTGGGATTTGCAGTACTTTCACTCACTTCCTGAGACCGCTGCGACCCCCAAGAATGACAGACCTGGACAAAATGTGGCACACAAACCTCTGATCCACCTCATGCCCTGGTGAACTTTGGAGGAGGATGGACCATGGATAATGGAATTTGCAGAACCTTTACCCAAGTCACTTCCCACAGAACACTGCGGCCCCCACTAATCACAGGCTTGTACCAAACTTGGCACACAGACCCCCCCTCCCCCATCACCCACTTTACATCCTAGTGTGGTTTGGGGGATGATGGACAATGGGTGATGGGAGTTGCAGTACCGTCAATCACTTCCTGAGACCACTGCAACCCCCACCAATGATGAATCAGGACCAAACTTGGCACACAGAGCCCCCATGACCCACTTTATGTCCTGGTGCGGTTTGGGAGATGATGGACCATGGATGATGGGAATCTCAGTACCTTCACTTACTTCCCAAATAACCCAGGCACCACCAGGTCCCCAAGCTAGTCAAAATAATAAAATTACAAGGTTAAAATAAACTCCCCAACTCAAAGACATATAAGAGAACTATTATTGTATCCCTGCCAAGCTTTTTATTTTAGGAAGTTTCTTTTAGACCTTGTTATCTCAATGTTTTACTCAAACATGATATAAATAAGTCATGGTCGTAATATGATACCATGTTCCTACAAAATATTAGACGAAAGGTGGGATTCCTGTGGTCCTCCACATTTTGATGGGTTTCATTCCTATCAGCCTCAGTCATCCTGGTCAATGATAAGAGATAATGGGAATACCAGCACATCATATGAAGAACCACAGGTATTGGAGAATTCTGAGACAACTGTGTTTTTTGTTTGATGCTAGAGAGTAGTACTGAATTACAATGTCATCTAAAATGGGTTCTCCCATGGTAAACCTGGTTTGCTTTGGGATGAGATTAGAATGGTGTTGTGAGGTAGGTTGTGTTTTTATTCACATCTAGGGAGCCTCCAGTGGGCCTTAAAGATGGTGTGATCATCTCTTTTGCAATGTTTTGATAGACAAATAGTTCAGGAGCAGGATGAACACTCATAATTGTTAATTATGAGTAGAGGTAGCTCTTGTCATCTTCCTAGACTTTAATTCATCACTTAGAGTGCATTTACACTGTAGAATTAATGCAGTTTGGCATCACGTTAACTCCCATGACTCAATGCTATGAAATCATGGGAGATGTAGTTTTACAATTTCCTTAATCTTCTCTGCTGAAAGGTACTTATTTTTCACCAAATTACAAATGCTTGGATTTCACAGCATTGAACCATGACAGTTAACATAATGTCAAACTGCATTAATTCTATAGCATAGACGCATTCTTAGTGTATATGGATCAAAGAATGAGTGAATTCATTAGTTAATAAATTAATTTTCCCCACATTTATCTAACCACCCAGTAGCATCACTCCTGAAGTCAGATGCATGCAGAAGGTATGTACACCTTGAAGTCTTTCTTATCTATGACAATCCTAAGGCAACCCTATCACAAGGAGATTTTTTGTAAGATAATAATAATAATAATAATAATAATAATAATAATAATCTTTATTTATACCTTGCCACCATCTCCCCGAAGGGACTTGGGCTGACTCACAGAAGATTTATTCATATGCCATTGTCTTCATCTGAGGCTGAGAGAGTGACTAAGGTCATCCAATAAGTTTTCTGACCAAGCAGGGATAAAAACCCCTATCTCCAGAGTCATACTCCAGTGCTCAAACCACTGTACCATTATAGTTTATTGGGATTTATTTATGTATTTATTAATTAATTATCATATTTTCACCCAGCACCGGGACATAAGACAGATCCAAATATGATCTGAAATAGGGGTGTAAATATTCTGTTATTTTGTCACCACATGCGACGATCAATTATTAGAGTCGACTTCTCCCTGCTGTGTGAGTAAACAGAACTTTCTCTGGAGTGTTTGTCTTATATTTGAACATGCTAATATGTTGTGGAAGTGTTATTCTGCAGAAATACATATCATTACATATTTTTTATTTAAAAAATACTTTGCTATGTATGAAACCCATATCGTAGCAGAAAATGAAACAAGAAAACACCTGAAACCACCAACAATATGCATATAGTAGAAATGAAGAAACCTAGATGAATTATGTTTTTGGAGGGAGGGAGGATCATACGTTCTGTCCATTTCGTTTTGGTACAATAAGTGCTAATAGCAAGCAACAGCATTCTCCATATTTTTGGGCAAAGACTTCTTTAAATCTGTATCTTTAACACCTTGAAACATTTTGGGAGATTTTAAGGATTGGGCGGGGGCGGGGGGAGGTTGGGATTAAACAGCTCCCACAAAACTCAAATCTGCCTATTCCTGGTCTAATTGGCCTGCCACAGATTTCCATGACAATACTGTTTTAAATTTCAGCATTATGAAATAAGTTTGTAACACAGTTCTTTCCAGCACGTGTTGGTTTATGTATGAAGAGCATATATCTTCTGATATGGGGGCTTGGACATTTTAAAAATCTTATTAATAATTCTATCTGGACTGGTCTGAACATAAAGAAGGTACCAAGAAACTCTCTCTGTTAAGACAAAGGAATTAATTGTGCAGATATGGCACAGACTTAGCTAAAATACAGTGTTTTCTATCTCTTTGTGTCTTTGAAGATGCCTTGGAAGTCCTGGAAGTCCGTGTGTTCAGCCGTGAAGATGAAATTAATAAAAAGGAGCATCATACAGACAAGTACTCCAACCACAAACTGATTGTGCGCCGAGGCCAGTCATTCCATATCCAGATTTCTTTCAACCGCCCTTACAATCCAGAAAAAGACACAATTTGGATTGAATATTTAATAGGTAAGTTTCAAAATGGTGTTTACTTTTATTATCATTATCATCATTACTTCCTCTGCTGGGCAAGCACAATGTCTAGAGTGAGAAGAGGAGGGGCAGATTTTAAATATTTTAATATAGTGATTATGGGAACAACAAAACATTGTTCTAAATAATGATGATGACGTGTCCGACGTGTGATCCAATACAACAGCCAGCAGAGTGATCTTGTTTGCTGTGGACTCATCTTGTTGTGTTTCAAATAATAATAATAATAATAATAATTATTATTATTATTATTATTATTATTATTTCTTATGGTGGCCCTAAAAATGAAAGCCCACCAAGCTACTTTGTCATTAACAGTCCTGCTAGCATCTTGCAAATCCATGCCTGGAGCTTCCTTGATTGAACCAACCCATAATAAGGTTTTCTTTTACTAATGCTTTCAAATTTTGTTGAATGAAACCATGTTTTCAGATGAGTCATATCATCTCATAATATGTCCAAATTAGTCATCTTGACTTCTTGATGGAGTTCAGGCTAGATTTCTTCAATTGTTTTGGAGTTCATAGGAGCCATAGAACTCTCCCGCAGCACAACATTTCAAAAGAGTTGATATTTTCCTTTCCTTGACTGTTCATGTAAATCTTTGTGCCCCTGCTCTAAACTGGGAAAAATCCCAGACCATGCACTTGAAATGAGCATTGGCATGAGGAGATTACCTAGATATAATGACAGGGATTCTAGATCATGAGGTCATTGGCCGCATGTGGCTTCCATGACAGTAGGATGGTATGTATTTGGTGAAAGCAAGGGACAGGCCTTCATAGTGACTGCGCCTAGGCTTTGAAACTTATTTTCAAGGGAGGTCAAATTGGTTCAAGGCTTGCATGTAAATCTGGGCCCTGTTAGCCCAGCTAGTTCAATTAACATCTTTGGTAATAATCAACTTATATAACCCCAAGAAATTTTTGTAGGCTCTGGGAAATTGACAATTATGTTTGATGCTTTATTCTGTGTTGATGTAATTCATTTGATAGGTTATATTTCATTTTAATTCTAGATGTTAAGTTATAATCTGTTTTCCTATGCCGGGTTATTATTTTTTGTTATTATGTGTGCATTGGTTGTTGTGTTCAGACATTGAATGTTTGCCTTTTTGTGTTTGGAATCTGCCCTGAATTCCTTTGGGGAGATAGGGTGGAATATATAAAAAAGTTTTCGTTGTTGTTGTTGTTGTTGTTGTTGTTGTTGTTGTATGTGGTCTTTTAATGAATTTAATGTTTAATGTTTTAACTTTATAAATCCTTTAATCACCTTTTAAATACCCCACATATGTATTCTTTTATTAAGGACTTGGTATAGTTTTATAATTTGTACTGTTTTTAAAAAAAATGTTATTTGGTTTGAGCTGCATTATTGGGAGAAAAGCTGGAAATAAATGAATACATACATCTGCTACAGGGTTTACTCCAAAACTTTCAAAAGTGCTCAGTCATTCTCGAAATAGGTCCAGCACGTTGCATAGTCTCCATTAATCGTCAGACTATAAGAACAAATTTGCTGCCGATATCATATCAGTAGCCACTGGTTTATGTCATGGGCTGGCCATGAAAGCAAAGAAAGTATGTATGTTTTTTGAAAACAAAATGGAAAAAAATCAAAAGGAAAGAAAATAAAACTGAAAAGTTGGCAGTGAAGTGGGAATATCTGAGAGTTTACATCATTGCCTAATTCATTGCACAGCCACCTTTTATTGTTTACCTTTTATGTTGGTTTTATTAATTTGCTATGTTATTTGAAATCTATTATTTGTCTTAATGATTACTGTGTTATTTGTGAATTTTAATTCTTTAATTGTTCTTTTGCTGCTGTTTATCTCTATTTTGTTTTTGTCTTTGTAAACCGCCCTGACTCCCTTTGGGGAGAGAGGGCAGGTTATAAATTAACTTTATTTATTTATTTCCTATATTTCTACCCCGCCCTTCTCACCCCCAAGGGGGGGGGGGGCTCAAGGTGGCCTCACAAAAGCATCATAGGATGCAGAACATCATAAAAACAATCAGCAATCAACAATACATTAAAATATTAAAAAACCAGTAATTAAACAATTGATTAAAAGCACGCCTGTTAAGATTATTATTATTACTATTAGTCCAGAATGATTAAGTTACTTTTCCTACATTCTGCTCATTGAGATTTCATTTAACCACGTTGTCCCATGACCATTTATGGACCTATCTTCTATAAATTCATCTGATTTTTTTTAATCCATCACAGTTAGCAGCCATTGCCACATCTTACGGAACTAATTATTTCAAATTTATGATGTGTTGTATGAAGCAAAGCTTTCTTTTGCTTGCCTCAAACATGCCACATACTAAACTGATCACTATTTGATTTGCAGCCAAGTGGGATAAAGTCTCCTTTGGAAAAGCAGTCTGTGGAATTAAGTCAGTGCTAAGAAATATGAAGGTGCTGTATGTGCAGTGATTTGTCTGTAATGGCTCATTTGCCTGGACAGGTATCATGCAGTGTTAATGCTGATAAAATGGAACAAAGAATGTGCATCCTAGTTCTGATTCTAGTAGAAATGGCAACTCATTTCCAGTCTGTGTCAGTTTTGTATTCCTTCATAAATTCAACCTGTATTATTTCTGCATTAATCTGCATTTTTTAAAAAACCTGAAAAAATGTATATACTGTAAACAACAGGTTGGAATGCTAATACACAAAAATAAACTTGTTAGTTTCCCTGTTCCTTTAAAAAAAAGTATAATGTTGCTTGTTAATTTAAGAGAAATGTCTTAGCAATGCATTGCTAATTCGTGATTTTCCCACTATTTATTTATGATAATTATATACTAAAAAATAGAAAAGTACCCCAAAATTCCACTAAATGAACCCCTAGCAAAGTTTTAGAAACAACAAATAAACATAATTTCTTGTATTACTAGGAATAATAATCCAAGCCAGTATTTTATTTTACAAAAAAAAAGTTTTTGTGTCCCTGTTGTGTTTGTATGTGTCTTCAAGTCACCTGTCAACTCATTGACACTCCATGAATATCATAGGACTTCCTACACTCCACCCCAAATAATATAATATAATATAATATAATATAATATAATATAATATAATATAATATAATAAATAGGATGTAACTTGTTACTGAGGTATAACAATGACAGGTGCCTTTCCCCAGGCTGCCTCCCCACTCCCCCTGCCCCAAATCTTCAACCCAAAGAATCTTGCCACTCACCACGACCTTGTTTTCCCCATATATTCACTTGCTAGATAGGGATAACTGGGGATGGAGAGTGCCTTTTTAAAGGTTGAGTTATGGCTGTGTTGTTGTGTGGGTTTGTCTGTGATTGTATGCATGGCCTGATGTGAATTCAGGCTTGACAAAGTACAAACAACAAGGATAGATTTATTAAACATGGTAGAATAATATAATAACCTCTAATAATCAATCCCTTAAACTGCTGAAAGCCATATCTTTCCCAAATCCAAAACCTTTTCTGGTTCAGTTCTATCCCTGACTCTATCAACTCAAAGCCTTGTCTGTGACAACAACTTCAGACCCTGTCAGTGCCAGTTTAGACATGGTCTCAATTCTGCCAGAAGCAAGCCTCTGCCTTCTGATACGTTATCTTGGGCCCCATCTACACTGCTATATAATTCCGTTTGAAACTGTGTTATATGGTCAGTGTAGACTTTAATAATGCAGTTTATCTGCATTGATCTGCATTGTAGGAGTCTATACTGATCGTATAATGCCTTTTCATACTGCCTTATATGGCAGTGTAGCATCTGTCCACAATCTCCCTGAGCTGTGATTGACTGTCTTCCAGTTACATCTACTTAGTGCCTCCTTCACAATAACACTTTTTTTAGACAAGACATATACAGATTTGTTAATTCTTAGTATCTGTACGTACACATTTTAAAATACATTGTATCATCAAATGTGCACTTTTAAACACAATTTGGCGTGTGTTTTGAGCTGAGAACCGCATCACAAAGTTTGGAGAAATGTAAAATATGAAGGATAATCACATTTTGATAGCCTCAGGTCCTTTCTACATTGCCCTATATCCCAGGATCTGAGCTATCCTCTTTGAACTGCATGATATGAGTCTACACTGCCAGACAATCTAGGGTAAGCAGATAATCTGGGATAGGATTGTGGAATATAGGGCAGTATAGATACAGTATCAGAGACAGAGGTCAGCTCAGTTTGCATCAGAACTCACAAAGATCTGAATCTTCCAGCATTTTTAGTTCCTGGGTCAGTATGACTGTACTCTAGTATATCAAGTTTGTGGCAAATCAGCTATTCACTCTAAATGAGTTACAGATGCTAATTTTTCTTCCCTGCCATCTCTCCTACTGTTATAAACACCTTGAGAATTGGTTTTGAATTGACATTTAATTTATCTTCCTGGGAACTGACTGGATTTTTGCATTTGTATTATCGATTTCTTTCCTTTCTATTGCTGCATAATAATCATGTAGCCATTTATTAAATCTGCTTTTTTATAAAATAGCAAGCATTTAGCTTTTACATTTATACTCTGTGAAAAAGATGTCCTGATTTCAGGTTTTATTTTCTGTTCCTTCTTCGATTAGATAGAGTCCATGCTTAGGGGTGAAGGAAAGGGCTGGGGTAAGGTCTAGGGTAGGTTGTGTGTGTACGTGCCTTCAAGAAGTGTGTTAGCTTATGGTGACCTCATGAATTTTATAGGTTTTCATACGCAAGGAATACTCAGAGGTGGTTCTACCAGTTCCTTCTGAAATATAGTCCATACCATCTGTATTCATTCTTAATTTCCCATTCAAATAACTTACCTTGACTGACCTTTCTTAGCCTCCAAGATTAGACAGGATATTGTGCCTTTAGAATATTTAGATGAATCTACAGTATTATAGTAAAGGTTTCCCCTCAACATGAAGTCTAGTTGAGTCCAACTTGGGGGTGGTGGTGCTCGTATAAAGATGATTCCTAAGGAAAAGTA